CATTTTATAATTGCAGGATCTGGTCCAAAGGCCATAGACCTTGAACAGATGCTGGAAAAGAACGTGTTACAAGATAAAGTTGAGATGCTAGGGCCTGTCAGGCATGAAGAGGTCCGAGATGTTATGGTTAGGGGGCACATATATCTACATCCGAGTTTGACCGAAGCTTTTGGAACCGTGATCGTTGAAGCTGCTAGCTGTGGGTTATATGTTGTATGCACGCAGGTTGGAGGGATTCCAGAAGTGCTTCCATCACATATGACAGTTTTTGCCAAGCCAGACGAAGATGATCTAGTTGCTGCTACCGGCCGAGCAATTGCGTCTTTGAGAGCTAACAAAGTTCGTACCGAAAAGTTTCATGATCAAGTAAAGCTGATGTATTCATGGACAGATGTGGCAGAGAGAACAGAAAGGATTTATGATGGAATCTTTGGTGTTCTGAGCGAAGCGGAATTCTATGGATATGATGCAGCTGATGCAGCTAGCTGGAGCGCCACGAGAGGAAGAGCTGGCGTACAAAGCTTTGCTTTAATCGATCGTCTAAAGAGATACTATGGTTGTGGAATATGGGCAGGCAAACTCTTTTGCCTCTGTGTGATCATCGATTATCTGCTATTTTTGCTGCTCGAAGTTGTCGCCCCTAGAGATAAAATTGACATTTCGAGGAGTTGGCCGAAGAAGATACCACAAGATTCTTCAAGGAGAGATCGCGAAAGTAGGAGAGAATTCGGATAGCATCGCGTGATTGATTATGGGCCTGCGGGGTGCATTTCTTACAGATGACAAAAGGCCATCGCCTTCGATGTTTCTAGTCAAGGCCGGTTTGATGAGTAGAAAGAGAGTTGAATATTGACGCTTCCATCCATGCGTTGTGGAGGTTTGATCATGAAAAGTTAGGAATCTACTATTCTATCGTACCCTACAATGAGCCAAGGGTTTGGGTAGCTCTCGTCAGCTTGCCCATGAAATCCGAATCACGTCGACATTGGCAACTTTCACTCCTGCCCTGGGATGTTCTTGTTGGTAGCAGATTTTGTCCCATGGGTATCGTCGCTAGAGGTATTGGAGCATTGAGAGACCAATGATCAACATATACCTAGACACTAGCTCTATATGATCCAAGATCAAACTAGATTTCGGGGTTTCACGATACTATTCAAACACAGGAAAGACATTGTTCTTAATTACAGTGCTTACTACGATTTGAGCCTGTTTAATAATTTAAGCAAATTTCGGATGAATGATCAGCTGTGGTGGTTGATGATGCTTGGATTAAGTAAGGTCTGGTCTGGATGTGCGCAAATGGAAATGAAGTAAGGGTGCACCCCTCCAAAGACCAAATTTTCCTCGACCTATCAACATCTCGAGCTTTATTAATCTTGTTTGCGATGTGATTACTGGTATCGGCTCTATGTAACGAGCCACTTCAGTTGCCCAGAGGCCAGCCGCTATGACCTCTGATAGAGTCGCCCTTGGAGGGCAAGAGTAAGGCGTCAGTAGGTGATCGACTTTTGGCACTCGTTGTGCAAAATATTCCAGCATGAAAGAAGTTCAGATCAGCATTTCGAACTTCCACTATTGAGTACGTTTTGAAAGCATTCGAGATGCTAAATCTTGGATTTTCAGTTCCTGGATGTTCAGATACTGGCTTCTTCATAGGAGCGAGTATTATCGCGGGGTGTATGGATTGATTGCATAGAGCTATTAGACCCTGCTCAGGCAAAGATTTTGATGGCTTCTCAGCAACACACGCGGAGGATGCAATGAGCCAGCACTCTACGCACATTTATAATTTGCAGCTTCAAGGGCATGTAATGACCTCTTCATTTTTTTTGGGTCTCCAGGCGCGAACCACACTCTGCATCTGTAGGTTTACTCCCGCTGTGAGTGAGTTCCTCCCGCTAAACAAGATTGAATGCGAACCCAACGAAACCCCAGCCACCTACCCCAACTCAAGCTTCAAATAAGGTTTTATCTTTTCCAAATGCACCCCAGTCCAGGGCAGGATGACAATGTGTACTTGTCACCTGGGGTGGTTGGGCATTTTGTGAATAGCCAATAAGTCCCCAGTAAACATGTCACCTCAGACATCCCAGAAGTGCCGAGGTGCGTAACCAAAAAAATAAAAACTTTAAATCTCTTTGCCCCTCGAATCAGCATGGCACGTGCTCTACTCTACATAGCAGGAGGAAAAAGAGACCGGATTTATCCATTTTGATCTTTACTAGAATCTTCCAATTAATTGAACTATAATTCAACTACAAATAAAACAAGTGAATCTGAAAATACCGAGATGATGTTGACCTTCTAATTATCTTATATCCTATCACAGGACATACTTTGCTTCAACCGTAAAGGAAAGAATTTGGGTAATTGCGAGATTAAAAACGTGATCAAACCCTGCCGCTTTTTTATTCTACGTACAGTCGTGGGAGGACGTGCCCAAGATCTACTCGAGATCCATAATATAAGCAACCTTTTCTCTTCTGAATGGTCAAAACGCCATCTCGTGCCTTAATGACCCGTGTTGCGACTATGCCTATAAGAGTGGCTACGATTGTACCTCGCACCGTGCACAATGCCATTCAGGGTTTCCATCCCAATTGCAGGATCTGCGGATCGAATTCAATCTTCAATATCGTCGGAGATTCCTCCTGTTGCGTCAACTACCGGTCCTGCGCGCATTCCAATGACGCCAGTGGCATCCTATTGATAAGCCACATAATATCCCATCTCAGCTTGCTATGACCCTTTCGGTGCCACTAAGGTTGTGGGCTGGGTTAATGCTAAGCTGAGAATTCTATAATCAACAATTTTGATACCTTTTCAGTGGCTCGGATGTCACCACGCTGTTCTTTTGCGCTGATTTCAGCTCGAAAATTTAAGGCCGCTAGTATCTTAGATACATTCTTTTTAAATGACGGTCTGATGATTGGGTAGGAAAAATGCCTCCCTCCTATTGTGGGTAGCCTTGACCCTTGAGAGTCGGGACCACCGAGACAGAAATTCTGAAGATTACCACCTGCATTGTCCAAGTCCCGGGTTATCGGACGAGGAAGGCAAGCGTGGACAAAAGGAATCAAATCACGCGCGGTTGACAATAGCTGGTAGCGAAGTTGCGGCGAACCTGCCAAGAAGTAGAAGAAATCTCCGAAAGCATCCCAGAAAAGCTTGCTCCAGATCTCAAGACTCTGGGCGATATAACTGTAGACCATGACCATGAGTGATCTCCCCAGAATTTTCTACCATTCACAGCTCTCATTCACTCAACTTTCTCTTCTTCCCTCCATTTTTCATAAGGTTCTCAAGATGAAGTACAGTTTTGCAATAACAAGCCTCGCCCTCTGCTTCACCAAGACCCTCGCCTTCCCTTCCCGCATGTTTGATAATGCTCAATCCATAAGCGCAGAAGAGAGGCGTTCCCTTGAAAAAATTACTGCCCAAATCGAAGCTGGAATTGAAAAGCGTGTATCAAGTCCTCGCTCTGTTGGATTCTCTGCATCCGACCAATATGTATCCAACACAGGCAATCATGCATTTGTTGCTCCAGGTCCCAATGATTTACGTGGTCCCTGTCCTGGTAAGGAACCCCTCGAATCGATCGATTCGTCTGAAATGAATGATCCGAAAAATGACTTTCATAGGCCAATGCTAATGCTCGTCTATATAGGGTTAAATGCCATGGCCAATCACAACTACATTCCTCGCAATGGAGTAGCGACAATTTCACAATTCGTTCAAGGAACCTATGACGGTGAGTCATATATCGTCGTGATTCTGAATGTCTCGTACTGACGTAAGAAATAGTTTTTGGAATGGGTGCTGATCTTGGAGCATTCCTCTCTATATATGGTGCTATCTTCGACGGGGATTTGACAAGTTGGTCTATTGGGGGACCTCCATCTTCAGGCCTGCTGAGCTCAATTGGGCTTCTCGGTAAACCTCAAGGATTAATTGGATCACATAATAAATATGAGTCTGATGTATCACCTGCACGTCCGGATCTTTATGAATAGTAAGTTATACCATATCTTAGGATCGGAGGGATAAAGATATTAACAGTGACTAGTGGCAATAATTACAAAGTGATCTTGCCTCAATTTGAAGAGATGTACGCTTTGCCGCTGGGTCCGAATGGTTACGATTTATCAGTTCTGACTCCCTTCCGAGCAACTCGTTTCCAACAATCCATTGACAATAATCCATATTTCTTTAACGGACCCTTTTCAGGAATCGCTGTCCAGCCTGCAGCATACACTTTCATTTATAGATACATGGCCAACAAATCCTCTGAATATCCCGAGGGCTACTTGAATGGTGATGTCTTGAAGTCATTTTATTCTGTTACTGGAGAACCAGGTAGCTTTGTATGGACAGAAGGGCATGAGAAAATCCCTGACAATTGGTATAAACGTGCTCTTGGTGACGAATACGGTCTTGTACCTTTCGCACTAGATCTCAACATCGCAGCTCTTGAACACCCCGAGTTCCTTTCCGTTGGAGGAAACACCGGCACGGTTAACTCATTCACAGGCGTCGACCTTAAGAATTTGACCGGTGGTGTATTTGATGTTACCACGTTGGCCGAAGGAAATAACGCCATTTGCTTTGCATTCCAAGTTGCTCAGCAGGCTGCTCCTGATATCCTTAAGGGTCTATTGTCTAATACTGCCTCTGCTTTGAGTCAGCTGAATGCGGCGGTTTCTGCAGCATTGAGTGGGTTCAGTTGTCCTCAGTTGAAGAGTATTGATACTTCGCAATTTGCCCAGTTCCCTGGTGCGAAGGGGGCTTATTAACTATGATGGATGATTAATAATGTCATGTGACGATGGATTTATGTGGATTGATATTTGAGTAGGAATAGTTCAGCCGTTGGCCTTCTTTGTAAATAGTTTTTATATCTTGTATAAGCGAATCAAGAATTATCTTCGATGTTATGATAAATGTCTGATTTGCAGTTGATGTGTAAATCTGACCAATCATTAGTCTGAGATGGGCACCAATGTGGATAAACATGCTGACAGTGCATAGCAGCTTGACGACACCCTTCTTTAAAAACTCGTCCAGAGTCTCTGTAATTTTTCTCCTCGGCCACTATTTTTCGTCGAAATGCCATATTATTCTCTAGCGAAGAATTCCGTAAGCGAAACTTTGAAGTTTCCAATATGTGCAGATTGCGAGGACATCATCAATGTCGCAATACCAAAGTCAAAGGGCTTTCGCAATTTTCGACGGTTTGCTTCTTCCGAACCGTATAGCGCTATCGAGTACTTTGCTAGGCGAGGTTGCGCATTGTGCAAGCTCGTACTTGCAATATCCCAAAGTCCCAGCTATTCGGCAATGAATAATAACAGCTCAGGAGGCGGCGCGGTATCAAATGTACAGAGATTCCTGTGGTCAGAGAATCAATATGCGGATATTACCATTCTTCGGCCCGAACTAGGTAGGTTCAAAACAACTTTTTGTTATTTTTTGGGCGAGCTGCTGCATATGAGGGAAGTGCAAACGATATTGAGAGAAGCAGCATGCAAGAAGAACCAGTGCAAATTTTGTTGTTCGGAAAGAAGTCTAGATTATCATTGTCTTGAATATGACTAATATTCAGGCAGCTGGTATTCGTGGTTCAAATGTACCCATTCAAACTCATCAGATTGCTAAGTGGTCTGGTTCCACCGCAAGTATCACGCTGGCAAACAAATGGGTTCAAAATTGCATCAACAGCCATGAAAGATGTAAGCCTTCAACAAAATTAGCTTCAAGCTTGCCATCACGATTGCTTGAAATTAAATTTTCGAAAACGAGACATCGTTACTGCGTTCGTCTTTGCATTGCAAATATACCACCAAATTCCAAATATGCAACACTAAGTCATGTATGGGGGAATTTGCATTTCGTTAAACTGCTCAAAAGCAACTTCGCGTCTTTTCAGAAAGACATACCAATATCCAGCTTGACTAGAACCTTTCAGGATGCACTTAAGCTGGCTCTGAGAGTTGGATTCCACTACCTATGGATAGATTCCCTATGAATTAGTCAAGATGATGGTGATGATTGGTTGAAAGAGTCTGCTCTTATGGGCAATGTCTATGGCGGCTCTAGTCTCAACATAGCTGCCACTGGAGCACGAAATGGTAACGACGGGTTATTCTTCAAGAGGGATCTGAATTTGGTACGGACTGTGGATTTGATGACGCAAGTGGAAGACCAGAAGAACTGCTTTGGGGCCAATGACTCTAAGAGAGACAACTTAGGGCTTGCATGGGTCTGTGTGGATGGATCGATGTATAGGCGAGCATGTCATGAGTCACCATTATATCAACGAGCGTGGACCTTTCAAGAACGTTTTTTAAACCCTCGCACTCTACATTTTGGAAACCCTCAGATAATACTTAGATGCCATACACGCGTAAACTATGAAACGTTTCCAGAGACTAGGCCAACTGATTTCGAAGAGGGAGATACTGTGGAATCTCAATATTGCACTTTTCGCCGTGCTTGGTCAATCATAGTTGAAAACTATTCGAAAAGCCAGCTGACAATAAGCAGTGACAAGCTTGTGGCATTGTCAGGTGTTGCTAAACATTTCGCTAACAAATATAAGGTTGAATATCTTGCAGGAATATGGAAGGAGCATTTGCCCCACGCTCTAGTATGGTCAGTAGATGACAAAGATGGAACAGGGCCACCTCCACTTCGGGGACCAAGTTGGTCTTGGGCGAGTAGAAATGGGCCTATAAAACACGATAGGACATACTCTTTTGTCACAACACCTTATGACGACCGCTCGAGCCCTTGGGAGGCGGATGACTTTATAGTTCTGGATGTTCAGGTTCGGACAACTACACCTGATTTATACGGTCATTGCCTTGGTGGAACAATGCGTATCGAGTGTGTCAATCTACTAAATGGAACCGAAACTCCTGGCGGAGTATATCCACACAGATCCAGCAAAACCGTGCATATTGGGGAGGAATCGTTCAGCATCAATTATTATCTTGATGGCTGGAGAGGTCATCATACAATATATTTGCTGAAGACATTCTCGCGAAATAAGCTGGGAAATCCGAAACCTTTTTACGCAAGCAGCTCAAACGTTCAATGTAGACCTCTCCCTTTTTTCCCTCCAATTCCTGGAGCTCACGACTGTGAAGAGGGGCTTATAATAGCTCCTGTCGCTAGCAAGAAGGGGGTCTTCACACGCGTGGGGATTTATCAAGTTCCAGTGTATGGTGGAACTTTGCAAGACTTCGAGAACTTGAGAAATAAGGGCGAGCTTTCATTTGAGAACAAGCTATCGTTATATCAAGGAGTATCAGGGGTCAATAAAGCAGGACATCAAACGTATATTATCACTCTTGTCTAACAAGAGCGAAATGACTTCACTACACATCACAGGTTCCTTTTGCCAGATCCGTCTCAAACTTCCTGAACCTATGACAAAAAGGCGGCCATCTCTATCTTCAGATGGAAAGATAGTAGTCTATGAGCCAAGAGCCAATGTCCTGTAATCTATGTAGATGAGGTGAGAAAGTCCTCTCAGTTTTAGATCGCATAGTACTAGAAACATCGGCGCCAAGTTCCGGGGGCAGCTTCAAAACTTCAAGATCAGATAGAGTATTCCACTCCGAAACTATAATTCTCGAGATCATTGATGTTATTCCAATCCAAGTTCGAAACTCCAGGAGGAGATACACGAATACAATAAGGAACGTCATATTTTAACCTCAACACGAATGCTGACATCAATCACCCTTCCCTCCTCACCCACGACGCGAGAAAAAGACATAAGCGCCAAGTTCCAAGAACTCACTCGAAACACCACGACCAGACGATGTTTCAAAGCAAAAGAGTAAAAGATGTATCTTCGGTCACAATTCATCTCATCAACGCAATAATACCATCTTGGCAACTCCTAACACCAAACATCCGTGCATACCCCTTCATTTCCCATCTCAACCGAATTTGGAAATTTTGTTCTTTGTGATCCACTTGTGTACTCTTTATGCTTAAACAATATGAAGAACCGATTTTTCTGTAGCCTTTTGATTGGATCAGCAGGAGATATGTTCTTATTATGGAAATAGGTAACAGGAAGGGAGAGGAAAACAGTTGGGTTTGGCGATTTGCCATGCTTTTGTGGGGCGGACGTTTGCTGGGTTTGGGAGATTGTTTTTCTTGGTGGTGATTTTTTTGGGTTCAGGTTAATAATGAAATGGAGTATGTAGAGTCGATGATGAGATATATATCTTACGATCCCGCCCGCTACCAATCTTTGGACTGCCGGTGCTATTTGATTCCTGATACCCTGACTTCATTGCTCATTATCAGACGTTCTCCTAGATATTTATCTCCATCTGCACGATATCAATAGTCACTCAATCGTCTTCACCAAAGCAAAACAAAAAAAAGCAACACCATTACTCAAAATGCAACTCACAACCCCTCTCAAATTCCTATCTCTCCTCAGCCCAATCCTCGCCCTCGACTACATATCAACATATAATCTCGGCGCTGCCCGTTGGGACGCAACTCTGACCGACACACCCAATAACATTACTTGCACCATCACTTACGACGATATTTCTTCCCTCCTCATCGCAGATTCAGATGGATATCTCAGTAGTGCGGTTGCGATTGTGATGCCATGTAGTGATTTGAATGCCGTTGCCACCACTGTTGTTGGGAAAGAGAGCTCGAGTGTTAGCTATACGGTACCCGGAGAAGAGAAGAAAGATTTTGTGGTAGCAAGGAGGACTGTGTTGGAAGACGGAGAGGTGATTATGATGTCTTATGGAGCATGAAGAGGGGGTGATGGAAATCTGGTGGATGTGAGAAGGAGATAACGAAAGGAGGAGGTAGAAGGGAGAAAGGGAATAATGGAGTTGCGAAAAGAATAAACGAAGGATAGATCGGGAAACTATAGGAAGTGGTAATGGCAGGCGTAGAATGAAGGATAAGTCGGTTACCCTACTTTCGGGCCACCCCTGTTTTGGGCCACTTTTCAACCACTTTTTATACCAAAAATGGAATTTCTAACTTTCTTATTTATGAATAGAATTCATTGAAAATTTATATATATATAATTCAGATCGTTTTGAACTTATTCTGAAATTTTTAGATTTTTAGGATTTTTTTATATTGAGATCTAGAGCTTCAAAATATCGATTTTTTAATTTGTATAAGAATCACATACAAATTTGAAAATTTTATAAAATCTTTTATAACTTTCTAACAAAAATTGCTAAAAATAAACTATAAAATTTATTATAAATTTATAGTATATTTTCTTTAAGAGATTTAGAAAAAAATAAAAAGTTTTTTATAAATAAATATTTAAAAGGGTATTCTCAAAATAACAAGGATTATTTATATTATTTTAAATTCACTATATATTATATCTCTATATCTATTAATTTTTTTGAATTTTTTTTTTTGAATTTCTATATAGATTTGAATTCAAAACTTTCAAAAAGATATACAGTTTTCTTTAATAATTATTTTTAAAAAGTTATTAAAGATTTTATAAAATTTCTAAATTTGTATGTAATTATTATATAAATTAAAAAATCAGTATTTTAGGGTTTTTGTCACGGGGTGACACTAAGCCCTTTCTGTCCTGTCCTGTCCTGCTATATATGTGAGAGTAAGGTAGAACTTCCAGTTCTATCTCCTAGTCTTTTGGGTGTTTAGCTCAGCGGTAAAGCTTCTGAATACTCCCAGAAGTGATCCCGTGACAGTTTTGGATCTTAATATAGAAAAATCCTAAAAATCTTAAAATTTTAAAATAAGCTTAAATCGATCTAAATTATATATACATAAATTTTTATCAAATTATATTATATATTAATAGAGATATTAATAGGCCTAAAAAAATGATTTTTGGTGTAAAAGGGTGGCCCAAAACCCTGGTGGCTCGAAAGTAGGGTAACCGACTTATGTATGAAATCACGATCGAGAAGTACTTAATATGGCTCTGTAAAACAACAGCGACAAGCGACAGTAGACGGCGAATGAGCAAACAGTCAGATAACCAAATTTGATAAGCTATGGATATTCGACTTTTATACGAATAACCTCACACACATACACTTTTGTGCATTTCCGTGTAGTTGGTAGTCAGAGCTCATTTTTTTCATGCACAATATTCATCTCAATATATCTAATACCCCTGTTCCGTTCAACAACCACATGATAATCACAAGGATATCTCGTCCATTCCCTCCCTGCCTCTTTTTCAATATTTTCCAATATGATTTTCGCCGAAAACAACATCTTTTGCCCAATAAAGAATCGTATGCGATACGAAATTGTTTCAAGTTTCGAGGGTCTGGCGCATATGGTGAACTGTGCAATCCTCGCTGTACCATACAGGCGGTTAGCTCATCCAGCGGGATCCACCTGTGTGAGTCCTATTCTGGAAAAGATGTTCATTTCCGCTTGGAAGACTTGGCGTTGTGTAGCTTACGAGTTTGGAGACATGGCTGTGATTGGTTGTTTTCACAATTGGTAGAATTTTTGAATGTTTGTTGTTTGATCTAAAGTGACGTATAAAATCGTCGCAACCCATGTGACAGAAATCCAAGTAGAGTATTCTTCAGTATTGTTTTCTTAATTAAGGAATGTGTGTCAAACTCGATACCAGACAGTGATGTCCCCAGATAATCTGTTTCTAACCAGATCATGAAAATCTCGAACCAGCCTACATATCCAGTCATAGACATTACCCACACCTCCTCAAGATAGACATCTACTTCACTAGCACGCTCTTACATACTTCAGTGCCGGCAACTCTCTACTTTGCCATCCCTCTCCTCTCCTAATCCTTCCATCGCCCCTTCCCGATCCATCACCACAAATCCACACACCACTTATACCACCTTCTTGCCATCCAAAACAACTCAACAGCTGATGTTTGCGCAGACTTCCCTTGTCAGCCGATAATAGTGTGTATCCTGGTACAATATCTCGGCGCCCAGAAGCCTCCTCAAGTTTTTCGCGAGTATATGAAGCTATCAGGTGATGAGGTAGTGAAGGTGGCGCATCTTTGTGACCTGGAGTGAGCCTCATGAGCTCTGCGTACCAACGCGTACTATGTTCTTCTAGTTCCGCATGACTTGGCAACCCTATATACAACGTCTCTAAATTCCCGAAATATCTTAACTCAAAGATTGGACAGCTGAACGAATCACTTGCTCTAAGGGTCAGGTATGTTTGCGTGATCATTATATGCCGTATGAGATGAGTTGGAAGATCTGGGTCCAATGCAGTCGTATCAAGTGCGTCATTTTCATAGTGGTGCTCGCAGTGAGGATGGTAGTGTAGGATGTCAACAGCGTGATGGAAATATATAGCGCCCCGTCTGTTTAGCATGGAGGGGTTGAGGACCGAGTAGCTCTTCAGAGCAACTTCACGAGAAGCTTGACATGTCTGGGTAAGTGGCGGTGGCTGAGATTGATATCTGTATGTATGGGATTCTGGAGCGAAGTCGACTCTGATAATCCGGGGTATAATGCTGTCTGGTTGAAGAGAAAAATAAAAGATTTTGAGTTGAAGTTCGACTGGGAGTCTTCCGAATTGTGGGAATGATGACATTTTGGCGTGTTTCACTTGAGTCAGAACAAGAGTGTGGTACAAAATTGGGGGCTTTGCTGGGTATATATGTTCGTCCGAAAGGGTCGAAGTTGGCTGTCTACTGTGATTATCTTCGAATTTGTGAGCGTTTGGCAAGTATCACGTTGGATTAACAACAGATTCACGCCAAAAATATGCAACTCTTGGTTTTGCGAGGATTTTTAGCCACGGACGAATGTATCGAGCTTCCAAAGGACGAATCTCTTATAGATGGAGCAACGGCGAATTCGAGGAAATGGTCTGGTCTATTGCTAGTTCGCACGCTGGCAAAAGTGAGACAGAAACTGATTGACAGCACCGCATTCGTGTGAGGTCTAAATTTTGCAGTTTAGTAAAAGCTTTGTATCGTCAACAAATACGAATAACTGCTTGCGTGCATGAAGCAAGAGAATAAAAAGTCAAGATCGGATTATACGGCCAAAAGCCCGTCCCGAGAATGAACAGAAAATACTTCAATTTGGCACAAATATTTTATTGTCCAACAATTCCTAGATCTTCAGGCTTCGGGATCAGTCGCGAGACATGTTGAATATTGATGATATCGAGAACCGAAGGATTTGAGATTGGGTATCTGAAGGAAAGATAAGATGATATTCATGGTTTATTACCTTCCTCCTACTCACACTCAATGGAATGTGACTGATGTTGAACAAGAAAGACCACACGATAACGCGCTGGCTGATGATCCCTCCCGACGATCCCTCTAGCTTCACTCGGTTTTTAACAGGCACGTAACTTTACATGGCCGCGATTTTTTTCCTTGATGGTGTACGACCTCATATACGGGCTCAGGCTGCGTATATCACCTGAAGCTTCAGCCGCAGGTAGTGTAGCACAGAGGCTACGTGTATGTATCCAAAACCAAAGAGCGGGGCAAGATAGGATTTTGACCTCAAGCATGCATTCAGAGGCTCTCAGCAAGATAAATTTGTTGTAGAGAAAGAAATGGCAACTCACCATAAAGCTGATATTTTCGTGAGAATTGATAGATATTGTTATTATTGTTGTTGTTCTTGTTGGAAACAAAGAAGATGGAAAAGCAAGAAGAATTGAAGTATCAAATAGCTAAAACCTAAAAGGAGACCAACTAAAACCCTCCTACGGTACAGCATAGACCAACAATAATGGCTTAAGACAAACATTAGTGGAATAACAGTGGGGAATCACTAGAATATCAACCATTGGCGCCAGTAACCAGAGATAGAATAGCGATGGCAATGTTATAGAATAGCTCCTGCCACGGCTGTGCAGTACAAAAGTACGGTTCGATGGCCATGGCTGGCGCGAATGGCCACAACATGTCATCTGATTGTTGTTATCGAATCCTAACCATCTGTGATCCTTTACGTGAAGAACACATGGTGTAAATGCAAATGACATTGTGTGTTCGATAGTGTTTGACTGCAGCAGTAACACCGGTACGCAGACTCGATTGGTTTTCGCCAAGAAGCTAAATCGACGGTTGAAGGGGCGTAACGATGAAAAGACGGAGTTTGATCTGATATACCGATACAGCAGTCTTTACTCACAACCTTTCTCGAGGACCTTCATGATGAAGATAGGTAACGCGACAACTTCTCGATGGGCGCTTAAAGATAGGCTACATCGACCTTTATACCTATTGTTGTGCTTGGCCCTAACTGCTGATTGCGGATCGCAGAGCTTGGCTATCCACATTTGAAATAAACGACAAGCGCTTTTACAGGCCGCCGTCTGTTTCAATTGCCATCACTGGCCCTTGGACTTTGTAATCGGCATGGAGGTCAATTCAATTTTACGTGAAGACCCACCTACTTTTAGTATTGGCTCGTATTCAGATCTACACAATAGATGTGTACAAAGGGTTGAAATAACTGAAGGAACTCCATTCATATATTCTATCACATACTTTTTTCTCTCTGATATTTTTTGACTGGAAAAGTTCACTGATAACACCTCTCGATTCAATATGGGCTCCAACATTTGGTCAGAAAAGCCAAGCGAAAGCTTACCACAATACTCACGGTTGCCACAACAAGAGCAAGCTGATACCCCCTCTCATTCAGCATCTAGGGAAACACCAACTCCATCAGATATTTTCTCATACATTCGATTCATTCTCTACTCAATAATGGGCATCGCTTTTATCACATCTTTTCTTTGGGCCGGTCCCACCGCTCTTCGTGAATATCTTAATGCCCCATCCTCCTCTTCCTCTGCTCTACCAACAATCACAAATTCCTCTGCTCCAACAATTAACCTCATAATCGCTTCCTTCACATCGAAAAGTGATTCATCAGAATGGACAAAGAGCTTGAAGAAAGATAACTTAGCAATCATCCGATACGATTCTCCAGCGTCCACATACAAAGGTTCTGAAGCCCTCATCTATTTAAACTACCTCTACCAATCTTACGATAATCTACCTTCTGTCTCCATCTTTCTCAACAAATGGGAAGCAACAGAGCTTAGCTGCCCAGCATCTGAAACGGATCTAATCAATCGTCTCGACCTCGCCACTGTTCAGTCTCAGGGCTTCCTTCCCTTCTGCTTCCAGGATGCATCAAGCATGGAAACCAATGATTCCATCATCTCATTATTTCATAAGAGCTTTCCAGAAAAAGAAGTTCCGAACAAGTTTTCAGCTCCGTGTAATGAATTTGCGGTTTCGAGGGACGCAATCCGTTCAGTACCGAGGGAACAGTACTTGCATCTTGTCAATTTGCTAAGACCAACATGTGCGGAATCTGACGCGGGGAAAGAGTGGGACGTTATGTGGCCCTATCTCTTCCTACAAGACGATACAGATGAAGTTACTCCTTCAGAAGCCTTATGTCGAGGCTGGGGAATCTGCTTAGGTGCGGAGGATTAGGCAAACTTCAGTGAACTGTGCCATAACATGGAAATGAAGTAAAGCAAAAATTGCAATTATTCGTTTGTTCATTTTAAGGCCTTTTTCCGGCTTTAAACAATCTATCATTTGATCAATTAATTAAGAACCTCATAAGTATACATGAATTTTTCAGCTGTTAATATTCCCCCCATCATAATTGTACGAGAAGATCGTGTTCATCCCTTAAGACTCTTCCTCTTTCGAACTTTGAGAAGTATTCCAGATCAATTTTCACCGAACTGACTGAAAGCTGCTTACATTGAATGCACAAGAGGAATTCATCTGTAATATTGTTGATAAATTCTTGACATAGGCGGCAGCACTCGCGTCCAAATCCAGTTACAAGCTCAGAGCGTTAGATCTGCATCGATAGTTACAGCTAGGCTGTACTACGAGCTGTGTGGCTCGGAGCATTCTCTTTAATGCCGCTGCTCCGCAACATCGCAGTCTCCCTAAAGATTTCCAGGGTGGCATTTTGGTACTAGCAGTGCTTATACCACTATCTTCGAGCTAAGACGTCACTGTCTCCAGATGCTTATCTCTCTTTTGGTTCAGCTCCCTCTTCGTATCCAAAGTCCACGATCCTAACTATTCCTCCATACTCTGAATCTTCTCGCGAATTGCTCTTTTGTCCAATGATGAATTCCTCGCTTTCGTTCTCGCCCGTGACTGTACTACCTCCCGGAATTCTTAATCGCGACTTGTTATCCTTCGTTGCCGGAGTTGATTTATCATGACTTTTAAGAGGATATGAATGGCCTTTTCCGTGATGCGCATCTCCACTACCGTACATGCGCCCCGAACTTCCCAATACTTTGGGACAATATTTTCGCATAAAAGGTCTTAGGGTCGGGGCACATCCACCGACGATACTAAGGTTAAGCTCGATAACACACCAGAGCAGGGCATCGACTGTGTCAACTATAAAACGTATCAGCAGGTGCAAATCAAGACTTCAAAGCTGAAGAGGAACATACGGGTGAGATCAGTGCCCTTGAGCAATACGTATAAAGACTTTAGGCGGATGATACTAACGACACAAACGCTGGTGAAGAAGTCAGCATAGAACCATCTTTATGTGGAAGTTCGGAGACGTACAAGCTTCCCATTATCAATATACCCCCGACTCCAATTTTCTGCCTGATAGGGATCTGTAAGTTCCACATCATTGGAAGAGGTGCAATGACAGTTGCAAAGTCCGTTACAATGCCCAAACCTGCCTGTGCGAAATAAAACACAGGCCTATTCATGCATTTTGCTGTTCCTGCATATTGAATATCCCAGGACGCAGATATAGGACGGCAGCTAAATAAGTTCGCCAGAACACTTGCAGACGAATAGCAAAATGTGAATGCAACCAGACACCAGATAACACAATGAAACTTCCGAGACGGAAATATGCGTCGGTAGAAGAGAAGAACGGACGTCTTTGCCATACCAGTTGCAGCACAGAAAAGCATAGCAGCAATGACGTTAATCTAGAAGTTCATACCGGTCAGCTCCCGAGTAGAGCAACATTTATGGAGTGCTTACCATACCTTTAAAAAATTGGGATACAAATCGTCAAGTGGCACATCATACAGATGTTTTCCGAGTCCATAGTCGAGTACTGGGTCCATTAGTAAGACATAGATGGGCATTTGGGAAGAGATCTCACAATTCAGAATACATCCCGTTAAGGCAATTGAGGTCAACTTCATGGAGGAGCACATCGTCAGTTTCAACTTCTATCTCTGGGGGATGCATTGGAAGTACCAGAGCAAATATCATAACATCTACTCATAAACACTAGGTTAGAACTATTCTTGTACGACAATGCGGTCATGAGAACTTACAATCATCAGCGGCAAAGATTCGGACGATTCTAGATCTAGTGAAAGTCCGAACGGAGACCGCTATTATAGCCAGAGGAACGAAGACGCATATAACCGCCACGAGCCCGGCTGCATGATATGGGGCCTGCGAATTTGGGGTAATTCCTGGAGGCGGGGGGAATGGAGTAGACGATACCATCGTATGAAGACATAATGGAAAAGCTGAGTTTGTGAATTGGAATGAAAGACTGGTTCTCCGTATGCTTGCTCTTATTCATATTCATATCAAGCAGATTTCGCGATGAGTACCAAGATTCTTTTTGCGCCATGATCTTCGTACAGTAGTCTCACTCCATCAATACTTGCGAGGTGTCATAGTAGCCGTTTACTCAGTTCAAGCTGGATGTGCGGATTAAGAAACGATAATACCTTCCAACATGCATGTGCAAATTTATTGGGGATCGTGTTCCCCAGTAAACAAGCATAGGATCTACGTGATTTACTTGATGCAAGGATGATCTTATTTCTTCATGTAAAACATCCCCTGGAGCGACAAGGGATTAACATACGTTTGGATTCTGGAATCTCATACCAAAGATTGAGAAGCCAAGATGCAACTCCATCTCCCTTGCTAGACTGTTGCCATAGACTTTGCGAGAACCACTGCTATATCGAACTTAACTTCTAGGGACAGAAGAGTATCAAGAGATCGGCTCAAAGTAATTTGAAACGACGAAGGTTGCCGGGGCTCCTCAATTTGCGTTCAAGATATGGCCACTGCCGTATCTATACATCTAGAAGGAACACAGTTGAATGGCTCCAATCATCTTTTTACACAAGTGCTTCATATCTTTGCTAGATTTTTCGACTCACACTCTGGTATTCTGGATACGTATCATCCCTAACCCAGCGTCAAGATTCTGTCCTGGGTCCTAATAGCTCGTGAAATATCTAGAATCACATGTCCTGTGGGACTTTCAAAAAAAAAGCCTTATAAAACCACGTTGAAAATTTCTTCAAACTTAAAAAGCAAGCATGAACCTCCGTCATTCTTTTCTTCTCTTTATTCTCAAATTTGATGTAGGAGAATAGGGCGGTCATTTCGGATGTTCCAAGACCAAGACCCCTGGTGCATCACTAGTCTCCAACGCTGATGACGGCTTAAAGTTCTAGGATATACTGGTAAATCGTGGCATGGAACGTAGCATTTTATGTTGGATTTTACGAACGTATTTGAATGGGAAAGTACCGCCAAGGGATATTAACTATTATATTGACGTTGAATCCCACTACGACTACACGTGGTAATGCCTCCGCAGGAACTCCTGAAAACGCCCGGAGTAACAAGGGCATTGGTATGCTGAACTACTAACCATCTTTGCTTTGTGTTGGAGGGGTACCCGGTAGCAGTTTCCATTGATGTACTGGATGAATATTCATTGCTAATCTAATATCTAGAATATCTTCTATACTTCTTTTTCCAAGTAGTTTTTGGTCTTTGCTGGCTTGCGATTGTCAGACAAAAAACGAACACATAAACCACACTAATCAGAGAAACTTTGAAAGTAATTCTTTACCAAAATTGAATCCAAAATTTATTCTATACTGTAAATTCTCTCAAATGGAACAATGAGATTGATTTACTGAATATTATTACTGAAACTTCTGAGAATAGGCACTGCTTTATCGTTTTGATGTCAAATTCCAATTCAGAACAGATAATTTTGATGTTCGTCTGTTTCTGACGATCGCGAAACTGGTCTTTTCTTCTTACTCATGATAGTCGTGTAGCTGGGTCATATTGCATCGACATTGTTGAATGGAACGATAAAATATCGGAAGGCTCTACCATGATTACAGTAAGTCAGAGTAAAAATTGTCTGCTTTAGGAGTGATTGTAATTGACTTGATGATGATATTCGCGATTTTTTCTAAGATCGATAGGCTCCCCTCGTTTCTAGGCGCATCTTCGGTAAATGAGCTATCGTTACCTTAGATTTGGCTGTATCACAGCATTTTAACCCAGCTCTCTGATTTAGTATAGAATTGAGATTGCGATACTACAGCATCCTTCTTCACTTTACCATGTACAATCAACACCCTAGACGGTCATGAGGAGTGTTTCGAGTCAGTACAAATAGTTTAGCGGGCGTCTTTCCTAGCACAACAGTACGTAATACCGGGGCGAGCCGAGCCAGAAACCGGTAGCCTAGAGAATATGGAGAAAGAAATAGGCCGAGACCTAGTGGCTGAATGTCAAAAAATAAGAACTCTCGTAACAGTTTGCGATATTATCAGAATTGAAGCATTTGCCGTCTACAAAAAGAAGCTGATTAATCTGTGTAACATCACACATCTGAAATGATCCTCATAACCATCTCGGCACATAAATATGGTGGAACACACTATAAAGATCACTCCTCAAAGAGGATTGTCTGTCCACTATAATACAGGGGTTTTATAGTGGGAGCACATGGGGGGCTGTCCCACTTGAAAATCATTCCCATTTTTTTTATACTGAATATCCAAAGATGTACTACAGAGTTGCTTCTATTCGAGGACAGGGCCCAATCAATTATGTGTATTGATGATATATTCGAAAGAGATTCTGCTGAAGGGCTCAATAGCCTCGATCATTGGATAACATCCCGCCGTCAGATAGCTCTCCGCTACTTGCTTGGATTCGTGTTGGCGGCTGGAGCTGAATAAATGAATAAACAAGCTCACCAGGCCATTCACTTGAGGGCAGGCTATAGCACTCCGATAATATCTCTAGTCAGGATTTATCCATTCACAAGCATAATCCAGCGGCAGCAGTAAGCCTTGCAGATTGACAATTGACGGTCATAACCAAAATCGAATCCAGGGAGTAATAGGAAAAGTTAAGAGCTCTTGGTATGTACGAAGTAAAGAAAACACAACAGATCCGGTATCTGCTAGCCCAAACTTACCATGTGCGACTGGTAACCCGCACACCACGTTTTCGGTAGCGTGGTGGGTTTTCGTAGCTTGAAAAGCAGAAAGACGCGATGTGGAGCTTATCAATAGTTCAGTGGCAAAAGTAGTGAACGGCAATCTGCACCGAGATTGTCTTCACCGCAATTAATCCCCGCGTTTTCTCACGTACCGATAGGCAAATCCGAAATACAATGCTACAATAAAGTAGGGGTGTAAATATTAATCTGGAATGGCGGAAATAAGCCATTAGATGGAGGATTAACTCCCTCGCACCTAGATGATTTCGGTAACAACGTGCGTAGAAAAGTTTCGATAATTTAATTTACCGCCAAGGTTAGTTTTCTTCAAGAAGGTATGTAAATACACCTTTCCGTGCAATCATCATTGTTGGTCAGTTGTCGATTGCTTGCCATTCTGGTAATCAAGTAAAAATTATGGCGGGAGCTATCCTTGGTCTCATTCTTAGTCCGCTGTTTTTCGGCAACTGGGTTTCAGCCGACAACTTCATCCGCGATGTCGCGAGCGATGTAGTAGGGTGTGCTACAGTTGAAGCCATCTTCCCGGACAAAGTCTTTTACTCCAATAGTACCATTTACCAGTACGAAAACAAGAATTTTTGGTCTCAGACGGAATATTTGAGCCCTGAATGTGTCTTCCGACCTACGACTGCTAGAGATGTTGCTGCCGCAGTTGCACTTTTGGGGACGGCAGAAGGAAAGTTTGCTGTAAGAGGCGGTGGCCATATGGCAATCAAGGGGTCAAACAATATTGACAACGGCGTATTGATGGTCATGTCAAACCTGACGACACTGTCGATATCTGATGATTATAGCACTCTCTCTGTAGGGCCATCTCATAGGTGGGGGGAAGTATATAGTTATCTTCAGACCTACAATCGCGCTGTTCTTGGGGGTCGTTTAGCTTCAGTCGGCGTACCAGGGCTCCTTCTTGCTGGTGGCGTAAACTTTTATGGAAACCAGCATGGATTCTCTGCTGATATGGTCATTGGGTATGAGGTGGTCCTGGCAAATGGCACGATTGTATACGCAACCTCCAGCTCCTACGCCGATCTCTTCTGGGCGTTGAAGGGAGGCAGCAGCAACTTTGGTATTGTTACAAGATTTGATTTGAGAACAGTTCCCTCGGAAGGAATTTGGGCTGGTATATACACCGTTGCACAGGAGTATATCCCGGAATTTTATGCGGTAAGCATGTTCTTTCTTACCGTTTGACAGAGATATGCTAAGAATCAAAGGCCATTGCAAACTACTCCACGAATATCGTCGATCCACTTTCTCACATTGTTCCTGCAGTCATCCCTGTTGACTCAACCACCTCTGTTGGCGCCGTCATCCTCTTCTATGATAGCACTAATATCAGCTACCCTGCTTGTTTTGAGCCTTTCACTTCTATCCCGAGTATTAGTAACACTTTGGACTTTAAGACCCTCACAGAATTTTCCTTCGAGACAAATACCGCTGTAACACCTAATATTAACGACGTGTTCGTTGCGGGAACTATCGTGGGCAAAACATATGCCGAGCTTCTTCAAGGAATAAAAATCATCAACGACACATTTTATTCAGCACTTCCTGAGCTGTATGCTCAGCTACCGGCAGAGAACATTTCCATCATCGAGATTGACTGGCAGCCAATCGGTTCACTTTGGTTGAGTGCCTCTGATGCAAATGGTGGTAATACGCTAGGTCTTGATTCTTCGAAGGGCACACACCTTTGCTGGGCGGAAGTTGTAGAGTGGATCGGATCATCTTATGATGAAATTGTTGCCGCCTGGGTCGAGAAAACAACTTATGCGATCAACAATGCTACGGAGGCGGCCGGGCTATACGATCCATTCAACTACATGGGCGATGCAGCTGGGTTTCAGAGCATTTTCCCTGGATATGGAGCAATGAATGAGGCCAAGCTTTTGTCTATTTCGAGAAAATATGACCCAACCAGACTTTTCCAGACATTGATGCCAGGAGGTTATAAAATTGGAGTTTAGGGTCAGCCATTATGCTCAAGAGAGCTTGTATATACTGTTGCGCAGAAGATCACACAAAACGAAGGTACTTTTGATACAAAATGAGTCGTGTTTATGTGAGTTGTCTCAGTTGCTAAACTGGATGTTGATAAACACTATAAAATGTTCAATGGTGCCTCAGGCATCAAAGCCGGCTCTTATCCCGGATATTAGTCAGCCACGATGCCACCCTTCTGCGTTTGTTTTTTTCCGCTTGTGTTCAACTACCTTCTAAAAGCAAACCGGCAAGTACATCTATCGGAAGATGCAGTTACATCATTTTAGTTGTCATCTACTATTTCTATTTGATGAAAGCACCCTCCCGACATATACATGCGTCGCGGTGTTCGGATGTGATTTCGGAGGTCGTCACTAGATTCGATCGATGCCTCCCACTCTTACCTTCTTCGAGGTTGGTATCTAAATACGTCTAGCAAATCAATATCTTTGATATCATGAGTTTATTCGGATTTGCATCGAAACATCTTTGCATGTATGGTGATATGTGGTCTAGGAACCATTTCCATCGCAACCTCCATATGTACCCTCGATTCCAGCTTCCTTTTCCGTCACATACGATTTATCCCAAAACATTTACACCACACATCCCAAAGTATGGGTACGCGTTGGTATTGGGTAAGCCCAAGTTGGGTGTTCAAACCTCCATCGTCTAATCATAGCTATGGATAAAAGAGATCTGTCAATGGCATTTTACCCCGCTTCAACATCATCCTTTGCCCAAATGATTATTTCGTGCATCTCACCTGCCCCCTCCAGATATCTTCAAACTGTGTGATCTATGCAGTCAGTATGCAATGGGGGCCAAAACTAACACCACTTAATCGCGTTATCAATAATATTTGCTCGGCGAAATGTCGCATCATACCCGTATGCAGTCAAACCTCCGCGTTTGATGCAGAAAATCGATATAACCATCCGCAGGTACATCTTCTGATCTGACGCACGTATTGATATAACTGCATACATCTATATTCAATATTCAGCCCCCACCCCATCATATCATTTTTACAACTTAATAAAAATTAAAATGCAACTTCATTGCGTATAAGTAAGGTGTTGAAGTATTTTTGGTATCAATACATTATCCATATAGCCATGAAGGCTCTACAACGTAGAATCGACGATGTATTGATGGAGGGCTGTGTCTGGTTTAATGACACTTCAAGTCCCTTCCAATTTTATAGTCGTCGGGAAACAATATTTAATCAATTATGTACACTATGGAGTTCAAACACACACATCCCAGACTTTCAAGCAGAGTATTTGATGAATCAAGTAAATCCTCATCTGAGTCGACAGAAACTTTCCTTGGTTTCGTTGAATCACCTCCATCTGTTATTACTTTTCCAAGACCAAACTCTATATTTCCATTGGATAAATATGTGCCAGATGAGAAAGGCTCGAGAGAACGGCTCCTGCAACATGAAAGACAGTTCAGCGATTTTCAGGTACCGTTGGTGTCAGAGAGTAAAACCATCTCGACTTGGAAATGGATTCTAGTCTTCTGCGGATTATCTATAGGGGCATTTCTAGCAGGTAAGACTCGCATATGTCGTTGTTGAAGCTCAAGGGCATTCATTGTTTGTTCCTAATTGACAAAATTTAGGGCTTGATGCTACCATAGTTGCCGACGCTCAAGGACCCATTCTCCAAAGTCTGGGAGAAATTGAAAAGGTTGCTTGGATCGGTGTGGCTGATCCACTTGGATCTGGAGCTACTATCCTACTTATCGGTTCTTGCTATGGGATCTTCCAGATCAAATACATGTACATGTTTAGTATGTTGCTTTTTGAGGTAGGAAGTGCAATTTGTGGAGCCTCGACTTCAATGAACGTTATGATAGTTGGACGGATTATGGTGGGTATTGGAGGAGCGGGAATTGATCTAGGGTAAGTTGTCTCTTCTATCTCTTTGGCTTCCTTGCTTGTATGGAAAGTTCCTCTAATCACTTGGAAATATTGAAAATTAAAACACATTGAAGGAGCTGAGGTGATTCGCAGTCATGCTGTATGTACTGACCATATTGTTAGAGCTCTTAACTACCTATCTAAATTCACACCTCCACGTACCAGGCCCATCTATAACGCAATCCTTGGAATCTCCTTTGGACTCGGCAACATTCTTGGTCCAGTAATTGGCGGTGCTTTCGCGACTACTCCGGTTCTCGGGTGGCGTTGGTCTTTCTATATCAACCTTCCTCTCGCCGCAATCATGACTCCCCTGTTCCTCCTTCTTTTGCCGAAACACAACCCTATGCCTTCCATCTCAATATCATAGAAGCTTAAACTCATTGATTTCCTCGGTTTCGTCTTACATGTTATTTTATGGGCTTCTTTTCTCGTTGGTGTCACAATGGGCGGCTCAGCTTGGTCCTGGTCATCCATTTCTTCCATCGCAGTCTGTACACTCTTCGGAATATCTCTTTTCTGCTATATCATCCAACAATCTCTTTGCCTTCTTACCACTTCCTGCCATCGCATTTTCCCAGTTCATTTCCTCCGTTCTAGAACACTCATTCTTCTCTTTATCGCTACTGCTGCGACTATGACAGCACTTGTCACACCTATCTTCTATATTCCTCTTCTTTATCAATTTGCGCATGGCTCTTCTCCTATGGCATCAGCACTCAATGTGATTCCTGCAATCGCGGCCTTTTTCATCATCCTTTTATGCACAGGTGCATTACTCCCGCGAATTGGTTATTACAAAGCTATTTATATTCTCGCCTCAGTCTTCATGATTGTCGGTGGAATATCCATGAGTCGAGTCACTATCAATACGTCCAATAGAACAATTTATCTTTATTCTATCCTGATAGGTATAGGAGTAGGAATGATCTTCCAAATAGCCTACGATATTGGTATGAGCAAAGTGGCATCGATGGGTGCACAGGATACCACAGCCACCGAAGAATCAGGCGGCGACGAACAAAAACTTATTGCGTATATAAATGTCGCACAAGTGGGCTGTGCGGGTATTGCACTTAGTATTGCGGGATGCATATACCAAAACTTGGGAGTAAAGAAGCTTCAAGAAATTTTTGGGGACGAGGTTCCGGTGGAGATTATCAGGGAAGCCTTGGTGGTTTGAAGGGGGAGGGGTTGGGAGATATGGGGACTATTGATGGGGATATTATGAAGAGTGCATTAGATGAAGTAGTGGCGACTGTGGGGACTGTCTATTGGTTGGTTGTTGTAGCGGGTGTGGTGTGTGCAATTTGTGGTCTGAGTATGAAATGGGAAAGAGTGGCTTTGGAGCCGGAACTGGAGGGAAATAGGAGGTTAGTGTCATTATGAAGCTATCGTTTGAGATTGTGGGGGACGATGTTCTGTGTGCCAATATGGTCGATTTAGGCGGGAAGGACTTGGATGTCATTTTCTATAATCTACTTTCAACGATGAATACGATTGATTACGATGGCTTTATCATCTCAATAGGCTTTCCCATCTACGTAATCATAGCATTTAGTACCTCAACAGCATTGCTCAGTAGTCTCCATCCTTCTCGACACCCTCCGGCCACCAAATCATATGCCCGCCTCCATCTGCATGCTGCCTCCCAACTCTCGTATAGAAATCTCCTAACATTCTGAACCCCAATTTTCTATACAATTTCTCACCTTCGATACTAGCAGTCAATCCTGCAGGAACATTCTCTTTCCCCGCTCTTTCTAAAATATATCCCATCAACAATCTGCCGATGCCTTTCCCTTGGTACTCAGGAAGTACAACGATACTATTTACATGCCAGCGATTTTGCCTCCTTGGGAAAGCTTCCGGAGACCAATAACGCTCTTGATCCATTTTGATTGAGTGATTGAAAACGGCCCTGTTGGGTTTTGATGTAGCACGGTCTGGCCGGAGGTAATTATATAATCCGAACAGAACTGTTAAGATGGAACTTAACATCCATCTCCCAATTCTTTTCATGCCTCTCCTCTCGTTTACAAATTTCTCGACTCCAGAATCTAGACCTTTACGACTATACATCCCATATGCCAAAAGAACATCAGGCGACTCGGGAGAACAGATTACCAGGGTCAGAGTCTGAGGGTCCAGGTAGGATTTTGTGACGGCTTGTCCAACGGATATTTGTTGATCGCGTGGATATTGTTTTGCGTGAGGATCTAAGAAGTCGCTTACGGGGCTGGAACCATAGGCTGCGATGACAATATGTGTCATTTGAGGGATATCGAGCAGGGTCGCGGGGCGAAGAATGAAGGGCTGAGAGTGCATTTTGGATGTGTGATTCTAGATTTCAACGACTGGATTATGGAATGCGTAGAAACGATAGAAGAGGATTGATAGCGGTTTGATATTCACTCAAGCACTCGAATATTCTTACTAGGCAACTATATATATAGTGCAATCAATACATTACGCCGGATGACTGACATGTTCAAAATTGCTTACACCGAACTCCGATCTCCGAAAACTTGGATATACCGGAAAATTTCCCAAGTCACAATGATTCTTATATTCGAAGATGGCATATTTGGTTTCAGCTCACTGCTTTACACTCTAGTAACAAGTATCTTGTCGACGTTGTCGTGGGTGCTACTCATCTCATGATTGGACATGAAGTCGGAGTTCGGGACTAATCATGTGATTGCTGTATGTGTAAGCACAAGTGGGAAGTAAAGGCAACGTCGACGAAGTTTTCAGGCAGATACGTAGGCTCAGGGGAAACCTGTTTATCGTGAAATATATAGAATATGCTTGGGTTGGTGAAGTCTCCTCGAGGTCATAGCCCCATCAGGAAAGTGCATTTTGTTGGTAGGCAGAGCATGAACTTTGATGAGACTCCTTGAAGCCCCAAACTGCAAGTAACACACCATCAACTCATGCACAATCTGAGCTGCTTAAGTTGTCAATCGAAATAAGTTGCTATTATCCAGTTAAGAAGAGAGGTATTCGTATCGTCAGTCATGGAACTCCTATCGATATCTCGAATTCGTAGCCGCATTTGGGAGTAGCTAGATACAAAGGAGGATAAGATGCCAAGTTGACAAACTTTGGAATTTTTATGTCCTTTCAACGGATACTATTGGAAAGATATCATCGAGCAGAGAGAGAATCTCTGATGGAACTCTTCACCATCAATAGGATAATTGGGGTTCAAAAGTTCGGTTGGCATCTATCTGCACCGGCAAATATCTTCCCAAATCGGGAGCAAAAGTGTTCAGCGCCGATATTGGTATTGGTTGAAGTGCAGGTGATTGTGGTAGATGTTGAGAGGTCTGCCATTATGGTTGTTGAACTCTCACCTTCAAGCTCCCAGGTACGCACTCTCATAACGTGAAGTCGAACTGCTTTCTCACCCCCAACTTCCTCGCTCCTAATTTTCCAACAACTCCACACCCATCTCCTCTTTCTTTCAATTTCTCTATCGTTCTCAATCTTGAAGACTTATGTCCGCATTGTCTTGAGTTAGCCATCACTCGCGAGATCGAGTAATTAGGAACAGGAGGTATTCTTCCTTCGTCACTTTACCTCGTCTCAATACAGTAGAGCAAAGATATTCGCCGGAGGATTGCTGCGCGAAGCAGATCTTTCTGCCTACGATATGTCTGTAACTTATGATATATCCTGGTATGACGAGGTTGAAAAGCCTGAGCCTCGTCGCAAGATATACCCATTCAGCCCAGAATATACGCGCGGAGCCTTTAAGATCGAGTATGAGAGATGCAAAGACTTTTATAAGTCTAGTGGTGCATCACTAAATGCTATAAAATGGTTAGCACAATATGTGTTCTGGTATGAACACGGTAAGAGCCCATTTATTCGTTATTCAGCTATGGTTTGTTCTAACGTCATGTAGAAAAAAACACATCGTGTGCCATGGAGTGGTGGTATCCCACCATGTAAAGGCGAAGAACCATATACCGAGGAATTTGGCCCAGCAATTTGCATGTGGACCCCTGATGATTGGGCTTTTGATCCATCCTTTACTGATTTCGAGGTGGAAGACTTATATTTCGAGAGATTCGACAGACATGATATTGAGATACTCGAACAGCTTGCAGTAGGGCTGGATGAAGATGGCGAGATAATAAGAGTGGGCATTTGGGGCAACAACGAGACGCAAAAACGGCTCGGACAGAAATACGGTTGGTTCGAAACATATGCTCATGTCGACAAGATAGCTAGTGGGGAAAGTGGCTGGGAGGATTTCGAAGTATACTTCACCCATCTCGAGGGCTTGGACTTGCGTTGTAGAACACCCATGGGTTTTCACCCAGTGAGAAATGATGGCGAACTTCCAGAATTTTGCCTCGAAGACTGGATCTTTATTTGGGATTGTTCTCCTATCGATCCTGGTTTCTCGACGCTTATGATTTGAGACATATGCAGCTCTCAAAAACAAGATATTCAGTCGTTATCTTCAGCCGTTCAAGCTTCATCCGACATAGAATCTCATAGAATCCATGAATTTCCATCGTCTCCTTCTCCGACCAAACAATAAATGGCAGATCCAACGACCGAAATGAAACGCCACTTGAGTATGAAGGGCTAAGAACAGATCCTGCAGATGAGATTGATACTGGAGCTTGGGATACACGAGAGAACTTCCCTGCGCATTTACAGGGCACTTCAGAGCCATCCCAGTCGAAACCCAATCTATACACACGTCCCAAGGCAAGATCAACATGGAATACCGAACTAGGAACCGTACTTCTAGCACCCGCTCCCGACACCCAACTCCTCGGCTTCTCAACCACCAAACTCCAAATATCCTCGCACGCCCAACAAACTCTCAAAAGCAACCGCTACCATGAGCTCTGCAACCTCGAACAACAGTCCCAAGCTCGCATTCTCATATTCGATCCATACCGTGCTCAGGATGGAAGAGTTTCAGACACCGCGTTGGTCTTCATTCAAGGCTCGCCATATGCTCGACATCAAGCGGTTAAACTTCTTACTGCTTTTCAAGATAATTTGGAGAAGGGATTGATGGATTCGAATGTCAATTTTAGGTTTTTGGGGCCGGGTCGCTCGAGGGGGAGAAAGGGGAATGGTTTGAAGAAGATGAAGTGAGGATGGCTAGTGTTGAGGGGCTTTAATGAGATGTGTGAAGAGCATCAGGAGATGGGTCTAACGGTCTTTTCAACGATTTATATGAACACAATGAGACTGTATAATTGGAGAAAAAAGGATATAAGTCTGGAATTCTATTCACTTTGTATGAGCTCATCCACTATCAAATAAAACAAAAACAATCACAGCTATCTTCACCAAATTAAGAAGATACTTGCACAAATACGCACATCGATATCCAAATATTTCCTCCGACCATCCAACTATTTAAGCGAATGCAATACAGTAATCTGTAAAGCCAAAAAGAAAAGTTCCTCGCGAGTTACCCATTCCATATTCAAGAGTGAACAAACACACTCTGACCCCATTCAAATATTCAACCCCACCACTTCACTGCTCTCCCAAAAATCCAATCAACACATACCCATACCCATCCCCATCCTCGCCCTTGCCATTCCTATGGGCATCGGACCACCCATCCCATTCGAAGCAGGAACCTTCTCCGCCCCCATAAGTTCATCCGTATTATCCATTTCCTCTACGAGCATCTTCGCTTGCACCATGAGTGCTTTGAGAAAAACGTTATCTGTGAGATGCGCAGGAATATCCACTTTTGGGAGAGTCTTCTGAGGCTCGGTCTTCTCAGCTGTTTCCTCGGTGCCACTAGTGGGTTGGGAATCGCGAAGAACGCCTTCCATGCTATCGTCTCTCTCAATTACTACCCCATCATCCGTAGGTGTAGATGTAGAAGCAGTCGTGTAACTCTCACTCTCCTCCTCCTGAGCACCATCATCATGTGCTCCCGTAGCACTCCTCGTAATACTCAACAGCGTAACAATAAACAGCTCTTTCAAATAAGCAAAACTGAATCCCTCCGTCATCTTGGCAACAAGCGAACATAACTCCTCTCCAAGTTCCACCATATCCCCTCCATCCCCTCCCAACTTTCCCCTCCAAAATTCCACATACGCTCTCCGCTCTTCTTCATTCGGAACTCTAAAACAGTACTTCCGATCAAGTCTGCTCGGTCTCTTGCTAATACTCGAGTCTAACTTTCCCAAATGATTCGTGCTGCCGATCATTAGGATTCCATCATTGGACTCTAGTCCATCTACTTCGTTTAGAAAGTACGAACGAGTTTTCTCGGTGACGAGGGAATCAAGATCTTCAAAGATGAGGAGACAGGGAGCCATTTTGCGGGCTTTTTGGAAGATAGATGAGATGGCCCATTTTGGGCCGTGGCATTCGCCGTCAAAGGATTTGACATAGAGTGAGGGAATCGGGGAAGGACGGGAGGAGAGAGTTGACATGAGGGCTTTGATGGAGATGGTTTTGCCATTTCCTAATGGAAGGTGTTAGTAAGGAGGGAAATGGGAGGGAAAAGTTTAGGATGTGAAAGAGAAATAATTCAAAGTTAAATATATGGAATTTAAAGAAGTATTTGGATCGGAGAGATATAAATCGATACAAGTCCTAGTGGAGTGCATGATCATGGTTCAGTAGACGATCCTGGCAATTCTTACCTGGTACACCATGCAAAATGATCCCACGTTTCCAAGGCACAGTAAGCTTCTTATACAAAGCCTGATTATCAAAGAAGCTCTCCACGTCAGCGATAAGATTGGCTTTCAACGCTTTGTTGAGAATGACTTCGTCCCACGAGGAGCCTTGGACAGATTCGTAAAGATTCTTGTCTTTGACCCATTGTTGACTATCAAAGACGTATATTTCTTCGTGAAGTTCAATGGTCCAGGCACTGGCGGCTAGAATCAAAGCATCGATGCCCCGGGCAGAGGGGTCATCTTCTTTATCTGAAAGGATAAACTGCAACTTCAAAGTGCTGAACCCCTTAGGATCGTCGTATTGTGCTCGATAAACAATGTATTTCATGTTCTCCCACGTATAAAACCACCTGCGGAACTTGACCTGTTCGACAACCGTCTTTGGCTTGTTGTCAAGACGAGATCCGGATGCATGGTATTTGCGGACGGTCCAGTTAGCGTCTTCATCATCTGCGGAATCTTCAAGATCCTCATTATCATCCTCATCTTTATCGTTGCGCTTAGCAAAGCCAGCATCAGCGTAACCTATGAGATCGCATTGGTCGAAACTAGTTTGTACGACTTGGGAAAATATATAGTGTGACTTGAGACGCTCGAAAAGCATGAGTGGAATGGATGCAGTCTGAGCTGCATGCTGACTTGTCCAGTTGTCGAAAATTTCTCTGTGAAAACTGACCCTACTCCTGATTAGTTCATTGATCCTCTTCACTTCGATCTTCAAACGGGAAAGCACTCCGATTTACATTTTCAAGTATCTGAGTTATTTTGAATGTAAAAATCGAGTTGCAGCCTTTTCAGTACATAGAATTCAAGATGAATACCAGAAATGAAGAAACTCATGAAATTATATACCCATCTCCCCTCACGAGGCTGCGCCGCCGAGTAGATTACTTTTTGCCTCACTCAAGGCAGCACTTCTACACATTTCCAGAAACCAGTAAGCAATCTCCACACCCTATCAACTTGCCAGACACCTGCACTTCCCCGCGACCATGCAGATAAATAATGCGAGTTGCCTCACCGTGTTTGAGAAACTGCACGAGGAGACGTAAAAACATGCGTCCCGGGCGTGAGGATAATGACAAACGAGACAACTTCAAAGGAGCGCGTCATTCAATGCAGTTATAGCGCTGCCTTCAGATAGAATTTGGCTTGTGAGACCCTAAGGATTTTCTTTCCAACAACAGGATGCTGTCTCAATAAACTGTGTCTGGCGTGCATCAATCGGATCATCCTTCAATGCTCGTCATATCCAGTGACCAATAGAATATGTGCGTTATTTCTAAGCTGCAGACAGTGTGACATCGAATGCATGTGCGAGTAGGAGTGCCGAGTTTTGGAAGCGGATTTCTCAATCTGATATTACTACCACTCCTAGGAACTGGCCGCCCGCAAGTAATTGACATGTTTGGATGGAGGTTATCTCTCTTAGTAGATCTCCTGAATGAATCTGCCAATTCCTTACTTTTTGGACATTATGCGTTTCATATCAATCAATCCGGCAAGATAGTTGATAGGTAATCAAACAACTATCATGCGGCTCCAGACGAGGCTCTGGGAGCAGAATCGTAAAATTAAGAAGTATACAGATTATCTCGATTGAGTAGGGGTAGAGTTAGGGCTGCATACAGAGCACTACATTCTCCATTGAGATCGAAAACACCGCCTTACCTCATAAATCAATGAAAAAGAAAGGCAAAAAATTGAGTGAAGAGAACCTGGGTTCAAACCTATGATGTGACTAGGTAATCAAGTCAATTTACCCACTTGGCAGGTCAGTCAATCTCAAACCAGGTGAATAGTTATTGATCACCCCAGTATATCATCGTGACGGGCTCTGCACGATGAACTCGCAGTAGGAAGAAATGACGAAGAAAAAATTGGTGTCCTTCAGGCCCAATTACTTGTCAGATGTTTTTGGGACAAGCGACGCTGCTGCAAAGTAATTGAGATTGAAAGCTTGAAGACAACTATGTCTCACGATGATAGCACGTCAAATCTTCATATTAAAGAATAAAAAAGAGAAGATTGTAAGACCTGGAAGCGATCGCTATATGGAATCATAATTTTCATTGTTGCAAATTACCGGCCTCGTTTATCATTAAAATCATTAATTTCGTCTTTTATCAAACCATCAACCGGGTATCTCTCGTGTAACAAACCTCCCAAAGTATCCCGTTTTCCAGATTTCTCCCATAATTCTGAAGGGAAGGAGGCTTCTACCGCAGTGTAGTTGCCTATATTGTAGGTGCAATGCTGACCGTCTTCACTCTTTGGAACATTCCAACATGCTTGATTCCTTCTTCATCCCACGTCCCCATTTTCTCATCAATCTTGAATCCCCATTTAGCCCAAGCTGGCGCAACCTGTTCCTGTGCGTGAACACACATCAAACCTTTCCACACAGGTATTTCTTCTGTGCTCGAAGCTCCAACATTTTCCATTCCCATTGTGGCAACAGATGGATTGAAGAATGTAGGGTTCTGTTGCGCCCACGACATAGCTGCGCCCGCCAGTAATTTGGAGATGCCAGCACCCCTGCAATCTTTGATAACTGCAATTCTACCCAATTTTATATATGGTTCGACTCCGTCATGATATGTAGTTTCTCGATCGACAATGTAAGGAGGTGGAATTGTGCCATCGGGAATCGGAGCCGTTTCAAGCGCATCCGCATGATAGCTGGAACCTGGTTCAGGATGTGGTGGATGCGGAAATGGTACCAGGCGAATTGTGCCAATAGGTTGAGATATAGTCCTACTTTTCTTTCTCTGTAATATATTGCCATCGTCATCCTTGACTTCAGGATCAGTTGTTTCGTTGACTGAAGCATAAATGACCCAGTGGCAAGCTCGAGGGTCATCGGAGTCGAATTCATTTTCGAGGGGAACCCCTTGCTCTTGGACAAAGACAGCTTCTCGAACTTCCATAGCGTCTAGGAAGGTTTTGGGGATATGATCGGGTTGCTCTGATGCGGGAAGTTTGCGATCATACCCATCAAGGTTTGTTGGACCTAAGAATTGGATGAACGGAGTTGCAGACATTGTGATGCGGCAAGAGTAATAGTCTCTTTGGTAGGTGGTTGTGTGAATGTGTAGTTTTGTGAGTGTTAGAAATTTTTGGACGAGTAGCAAATGATAATTTAAAGAAGATTAAGAGGACTGATTATCGATCAAATCTATTTTTGTGGTTGTAATGCGCCGTTTTTATAAAAAGCCTAAAATTCTGCACAATGATGACTAGCGTGACTTGTGGCTTTATATGACTGTCATAAGGTTATGGAAGGAAAGGAGACAGACAGATGGATGATTAACTTGTAGACCGGTGGCTGAGAGGGCAGGTTGAGAAGCCAAGGTACCGGTAGATGTCGTATACGTAGAGAAACCGCAGGATCTTTCGTCATCAAGTTGCAGTTGTATTTTGTAGAATTGTTGCTTTGTTTTGAAGCTGTAGATTAGCTGAATGATCGACAATGTTTAAATGTGTTAATGTGTGAACCGACGGCGAGACGTGATAGCTTGCGAAGATGTAATAGTAATACTTCTTTCATAAGATGTAATTAGTTGTAGAGTTGTGTTCCAAATACCTCGTAATTTCTTTGCCACACGAGTGGATGAGATCATTTACCGGCATTTGTACGATATTAATGTCAAGGAATAGTAATGGAGGGGAAGAGAGGGAGGGGGAGGGGCAGAGGAATGGAGGGGGAAAGTTGGAATCCTTGCCTCAAGCTTGCCTCGCTTGCTTCCCTCAAATGTTGGTCGGAAGGTCGGAGATTCGGGTACCGTTTGCTCCGTGGGCTCCACCTTTCTCTTATCGGATCTCAGATAAGACATCTTATCGATTGCAACTTCCCCCCCCCCCCGAGAACCCTCAGCCTTAGAGGACTGATAATTGTAAAGCTGTCCTCTTTGGTCCTTGCAAGGATTATCAACGTCAATCTTTGGGAACACCTTGGAGAAGTATCTAGAAAAGAATACTTGTCCATAAGTGAATTTATTATATTAAAAATCAAATAGAAGAGGTCTTGTTGTTATATTTACAATTGTATTGTTGTCCTCAAGAATATTTGACTTGGAATTCTTGTGGACAGATTCTATGTCGAATATCTGAGGCAGGGCACACTTTGATACTCGAGTAGTTGAAACTCGTTATAGTATTTCTTTGACCTTCTCCTCCCTCTTCCCCCCTCTTGAATATTATTTCACCTCATTCATTTCTTTAGCAATTAAGCTTGCTACACCACAACATATAATGGCTCTTTCGAGGAGTCCTTCGGGGAAGATCTTTTCTTCTCCAATCTTGTCCATATTATGTTTATTTTATATCTTCACTTCCACAGCATTGGCTGCATCGGCAGTTTTAGGTGTTGATCTTGGGACAGAATATATCAAGGCAGCTTTAGTAAAACCCGGTATACCACTCGAAATCGTTCTCACGAAAGACTCTCGTCGAAAAGAAACATCCGCCGTAGCTTTTAAGCCTTCGAAAAACCCAGTCAGCGGATCGTTCCCGGAACGAGTTTACGGTTCAGATGCGGTCGCTTTGGCTGCACGATTTCCTGGAGATGTCTATCCTAACCTCAAGCCCTCCTGGGATTTGAAGACGGAGAATGATCTCATTAAACAATATGGAATTCGACACCCGGCTTTACAATTGGAGGCGGACAAGACACGAGGCACAGCAGCTTTCCGAAGCGGTGCATTTGCTGCAGATGAGCAGCCATGGTCTGTTGAGGAAATTTTAGCCATGGAATTGCAGAGCATTCAAAAGAACGCCGAGGCTCTAGCAGGTAGCAAAGTCAATGATTTAGTTATTACCGTCCCAGTCTTTTACACCACGGAGGAGAAGAGAGCTGTTCTTTTGGCGGCAGATTTGGCAGGTCTTCGAGTTTTGGAATTGATCAGTGATGGATTGGCTGTCGGTCTCAATTACGCTACCTCCCGAACCTTCCCAAGCATCAACGAAGGAGGAAAAGCCGAACACCACATGATTTTTGATATGGGCGCCGGATCTACAAAGGCTTCAATCTTGAAGTTCCAAGGACGAACCGTAAAGGACGTTGGAAAGTTCAACAAGACCATTCAAGAAGTAAAAGTCGTCAGCAGTGGATGGGATAGAACCCTTGGAGGTGATGCTCTCAACGCTGTCATCGTCGATGATATGATTGCACAATTTGTCGAATCTCCCAAGGCACAAAAGGTATCAGCAACTGCCGAGAAGGTCCAGGCTCATGGAAGAGCTGCTGCGAAGTTGTGGAAGGAAGCCGAACGTTTACGACAAATTCTCAGTGCCAATGCCAATACTCAAGCTAGTTTCGAAGGCCTTTACGAAGATGTTGACTTCAAATACAAGATTAGCCGAGCTGAGTTCGAAAAACTCGCCGAGGATCATGCTGCTCGAGTTGGTACAGTCATTGAGAAGGCTTTAGATCTTGCCAATCTTGAGATTAAGGATCTTGATTCTATCATTCTCCATGGAGGTGCGATCAGAACTCCATTCGTTCAGAAGGAGCTTGAGAAGATTGTTGGAGGTTCCGACAAGATCCGCACCAATGTCAATGCCGATGAAGCCGCCGTTTTTGGTGCTGGATTCAGAGGGGCCGGACTCAGTCCTTCGTTCAGGGTCAAGGAAATTCGAAGTTACGATGGTGCTTCTTATGCCGCTGGTATTAAATACATTGATATTCACAAGAAGCCAAGGCACATGAGATTGTACGAACCGACCACTAATGTCAACGCGGAGAAGCAATTTACTTTCGAAAATCATGAGGAATTTACTATTGATTTCTATCAACATGTTGCATCATCCGAGAAAGTATCGCCAGGATCCGCAGAAAAGGAATTGAAAGCCATCACTACACAAAATTTGACAGATTCTGTAGCTCTTTTGAAAGAGAAACACAATTGCGACAA